CCCTATGGGTGGCTGTGGGCAGGCACCCCCGGGGTCCGCCTGGCCCCTACGGTGTGGCTGTGGGCAGGCACCCCCGGGGTCCGCGTGGGCCCGGGGAATCCACCCGTGTCCCATGTGCCGCCCCTGAAATTCACAGCGACTCCGCTGCGTGCCCCCCACCCCCGCGACATCTCCGCTGCGTCCCCCCAACCCTGCACTCACGCTGCCGGGCCAGCGGGCCTGTGTGGGTGGGACCTGGGGCCCGTGTGCTGCCGCTCTGCAGAGGCCAGCAGGAGGCTGCCCTGGTGGCCGGGCTGGTCTCGGCCTTGAGAGACACCCCTGAGGACCGTGACCCACACGTGGCAAGCTGTGTGGACGGGCTGCCCCCCGGGGGCGTCCCCTGGCCATGCCCTCCCACTGAGGCCTGCCGGGAAGGGCAGAGTTCGCGTGGCTGCCGTGCCCCTCAGCCAGCTCCTGGCCAGCTCCCGGCACCCGCCCAGTCCGGGTCCTCGGCTTTCACATCTGCTTGTCCCACCGTTGCCAGGGCCAGCGCCCCTCAGCCCTGCCCTGCAGGGACCACCTCAAGGCGCCAGGGTGCACAGCTGGGTGGGCGGCGCCCTCACGGGCCAGGGACTCCGCGCTGCCCTAGAGCCCGGGTCCTGGGCCTGCCGGCCTGGCGCCCCAGCCGCCGCGCCTGGTCTCCCACCTCCAGCTCTCCTCGCTGCAGGCCCCGGCTGGCACCGTCCTGTCCCGCCCTCCTCCAGCCCCCGCCCCCGCCCCGTCGGGACGCGTCCCGTGCTCCTAGGCACCCCGCTCGGTCACCCCGACGCGTATGTCCGCACGCAGCGTGGGGCACCTGCAGCCCTCAGCAGCGGGAAGTCAAGCTGTGGGCAGGCCGCCGTCCCCGTGACTCCGTAGGTGGCTCAGGCAGGTGAGCTGAGGCTCTCGGGGCCCTGGTGTCGCCTGCCCAGTCGGCTGCTGTGCGGGCGTAAGGTGCCAGCGCGCCCTCGGGCCCGCCTGGGCTCGCAGGAGAGGGCCTTTGTCACGGAGCCCCGGTGCTGAGGACCGGCCCCGCCCGCGGGGCAGCCCGAGGGTGCCCGCGTCACGAGCGGCTCCTCCGCCCGTGCACCCTGTTTGTCGTTTACTGTCGTGAGGACTCGGCTGCCGGCCTGGCTGTGGGGCCTGAGCGCAGGTTTGCGACTGCTCCGACCCTCGTCTGGGCAGAGTCAGCCTCACGCAGCAGAGGCCGGCGAGCCCCGGGGAGTGGGCAGCTAGCGCGGTGGGCACCACCGCAAGGGTCTCCTGGCCGCGGGCCGGATGGCAGCGCCCCGTGACTGGGCCTCCGTCCGGTAGGACTGGCGCAGTGGTGGGTGCGAGAAGTTTCAGAAATAGTAAGACCCCGGAGAAGTGCTCTTTGCTCTAAAATACATGCTTAAAAGCAATGAAAAGTAAAAAATGCCTGCTCTGTAGGGTAAAGTAACTGAAATTGGCCTTACTGGGTGGACAGTAGGCGTGAGGCAGGTGCCCCGCGCCGGGGGGATGGGCAGGGGCGGGCGCGAGCCTCCCGCGGCTGAGGCCGGGCCTCGGACAGCTGCTGCTGGGGGCGGTGCAGCCCCCCAGCGGGCAGGAGGACAGGGCACGCGTGGCACACCCCTGCAGTGACAGGCGCTCGCAGCCCGCTGGCCGGGTGGGGCCAACTGGGGCTTCACCGGCCAGGAAGCAGAGCCTGGACCGGCCCGGCCCCCCGCTTCCTCCCCAGCGTGGGCTCGAGGGGGCCGGGCCGCAGCTCGTGGGGGCGACTGGGCCCAGGGCCTGGGGCCCCTTTTTCCCCCCACACAGCCGCTTGACAAGCTGTGGAAAGACGGTTCAGAAATGATAAAAAACAGAAACAACCAAGGAGAAGGAGGCCCCTCGGCGGCAGCAGTGCTGAGTGACCTCCGGCGCGCCCGGGCCTCCTGCCCCGCTGGCCGTCGGGGCCTGTTGTCGCCACGTGCTGGGCCGACGCCAGCATCGAGTTACTTCTCAGTTAGCATTTGTTTCTCAGCTGTTTCTGGAATTTGCTGCTCAAATTTCTTTGTTCAGATTGGCACAGAGCGCCAGGGTTGGTGCACTCGGGCACCTGACTCCCCTCGAGACATCCTGGGGCGCCAGGCGCAAGAGTGGGGTTTCAGGCGGGGGGCGGTCATCTTCAGAAGAGCCAGACCCGGCCCACGCAGTGGTGTCGAGAGGGCGGGGACCGGCCAGCCTCCCAGCAGCCCCTCCGGCCACCGACTTGTCCTCAGCTTCAAAGTCAGCTCTGCCCTGAAAGCTGGGACCTCTGATAAGAAACTGCAGAGGCCCCAGGCAGCGGCACACAGAACCTGCAGACTGGGGCGGCCCCGTGGCCCGGCTGCCAGCGCCAGGAAGGCACGCGGCCCTGCAGGGACGGGCCCTGGCCTCCCCCGGCTACCGCCCGCCGAGCACAGGAAGGTGCGGTGGCCGCGGCCGCGGCACCCCGGCCGTGGGCAGGCAGGCAGAGCAGCCGTTTCCTTAGGGAGCAAACCGCTGCCCGCCGGACCAGCACGCGTGCCCCGCCAGCAGGAGCTGGGCAGGCCGTGCCGGTGCTGGGCGAGGCCCGGGGGCGTCCTGTCCTCAGGAGAAGCCCAGAAGGGCGGGCGTGCTCTGGGTGCTGCGGGCCTCAGCTGGAGCTCACTGGGGGTGGGGTCCCGGGTCGGGGTCGGGCGCTGCCGTGTGGCCCCCAGGCCCCCTGTGCCCTGGCCTCACCGCCTGGCCCGGCCTGGCCCGGGGCCTTGAGCTGGCCTGACGTGGTGCCGAGGGGCTGGCGAGAGCGCCGAGCCTGCCACTCTCCTGCGGGGCTGCTTCCTCCTTCAAGATCCCACTTCTAAGCAGTTCCCCACAAGGACAAACAGAACAGTGACGCTCAGGGAGTTAGTGCATCGTCACCCTAAACCTGGGGGGCAAAGGTGAGCCCCGTCCGGCTCAGCGCGCGCGGCCCGGCCCCCGGGAGCTTGCAGGGACCCTCGCCGGCTGCCGGTAACCGGGGCCCGCTCTCCCTGTGTCTGCAGGAGCCGTGAAGCTGACCAGCTTGGCGTGCGGACACCAGCACGTCTGGGCCTGCGATTCTCGGGGTGGCGTCTACTTTCGTGTCGGGACGCAGCCTCTGAACCCCAGCCTGATGCTCCCGGCCTGGATCGCGATCGAGCCGCCCACCCAGGTACCACGCCTGTTCTCCGCGCGGCGGCCGCCAGGGTGCTCTGGCCAGGCGGGCCAGGCGGCTCCAGCAGCACAGCGGACGAGGGGTTGTCTGAGCCAAAACGAAGTTTTTTCTCTCCAAAATTTTTTCAAGTCAGCGCCTGATTTGTCTGCGCAGTCTTGCCCTGGAGCCGGCGTCAGCAGCACTCGGTTTGTGGAGAGCCCCCCGCCCCCCGCCCCGCACGGGTCAGGAGCGGCCCGGCAGCCCCGCACGCGCCG